CTGCCTTTTTTATTCATCCGAACCAGGTTGCTGCTGAACTCCTTCCATCTACACCCGAGACTCCAAACGGTTACCATAACCCAATTTTAATAAATTGACAGCTGGCCCAGACGGGGAAATTCTATTAATATTTGAGTTGGGCTCACTCAAGTCCTCTTGGTGGGCTTTATCACATTCATTAATAAAAACATTCCTTAGACCAAGGCCTCTGTAATCCTCTTTAAAATTCAAATCTTCTTCAGGAAAATCTGACACCTTAGCACTACTAGGTTGACCTTCTCCTTCCTTTAGCATTAAATGCTTACTTCCACTGCCGCCTGCCACTGTTGTACAGACCTCCCCTACCAACCATCTGTCTACTGTGTCCCTAGAGTCCTCAGCTAGCAATTGTGGGTTGCCTACCCCGCCTGAACTTCGGTCTTCTTTCTCCACTGATGAAACTTCATCTCTAAACTCACCCTCTCCGGCCACCGTAAAATTTTCTACAGAAGAGTTTTCTTGTTTTGTACAAACCAAACCCACACTGATTTTTACCTTATAGGATCTCCCATATGAACCCAATATAACAGTTTCCTGTATATCAAAAGGACTTGCCACCCTCAACAAAGCCCTTGCCACCGCCAAATTCTCTCTTATGACCGTGGACTCGTGGAAACACACCAGTTTCCCCCACCTTGAGACAAGCTTTTCCAGAAAAGGAACATTCCAACATAGTAAGGGGATTCCAACCAACTCCACCGAGCAAAATGCCATCGGGACTCCATCTACACTCATAAGTGGATCAAGCCAATCAAACCAAAAAGACACTTCCTTCTACTCGCCCACACCTCCTCGAACTCTTCTATCGAACCAAAAGATATGATACAAGAATTCCATGAATATCCCCATTTAGCTCCCTTGACCTTGATCCCTTCACTAGCCAGCCCCTTCACTACAAACTCCAAATCGAACTGGGATTTGATGATCCCAGTTAATGATCTTTTCACCCAATCATATTCATTTGAGGGAATATGCATTTCCCACAAATTCCTCAGCCCTGCATCCTTATCTTGATGTCCCTCCCGAATCTCTTTAGTCACCGGACCTTCCCTTCGCCCATCATAAGAAGTTAGCACAACCTTATAAGATCTCTCATCCCTCAATCGACTGTATGACTCAGGACCACCTCTTCTGCTCCGATTCACAACCTTTTTTCACTTATCTTCATCCCTTATGCCGTTGCTACTAACAACTTGCTTGAATATCTACTTTGGTACTTAGCAACTCCTACCGAGATTTTCTTGCCATCTATCCAAATACCATTGACATTTGCTATCGCTTTCTTCAACCCATCCTCCTTTGCGAACTGAACGAAAGCAAAAGTATAATTTTTATATTTCGGCTTGTTAGAATTACTCGGAATGTAAACACGTAGAACATTCCCCTGTTGTTGAAAAATTTCCTTGACTGTTTTCCAAGATACCCTTTTACTCAGATTATCAATGAAGACCGTCCAATCCTCGCCGGAGGACTGACCACCTAAAACCATCTCTCTCTCTCCCGCTCTCTCTCTTACGCTACTTGATTATATTGATTTGTAAAACACACACTGTATCCATAACATTGCAAGACCTTTATTCTGTTAAAGCTTTGCAGCAATATTTTATCAAGGCTGGGCCTGTGTTGGCATTTCAAGGCATGCTTCTAGCCTTCTACATAAGCATCTTCCGTTGCTATCAAAATTCAATATTGCACTTGGATTCAGTGGCTTATCTGCTAACTCAAAACATGATCAATCTTTAAATATGTTTATGTTTGTTCTAATCTTCCCGTAGTAGTTTATGGAATGGTATATTAATGTCAAGGTTGTGAGATGTTGGGTGTAGTAGTTAGTAGAAAGCTTAAAAGGTTATATGACGGAGCTTCTCATCTCATGTCATGTTCTTGTTTGTTGTTTTCAGGATTTGACTTCTCAAGTATCTGCTGAAACGGATCCAGTTTCTCTTCTGCCGAAAGTCGTTTCCCTACTTTACATACAGGTCAGTAGATAGAACACTCTATTATGGACTACATATATCTGAATGTCTAATCATCGTTTTTACATTCTTTTGCTAAATTCAAATATGGATTCCGTTCATAGGTTCACAGTAGAGCTCTTCAAGCCCCTGGAAGGGCAATCTCTGTTGCTGTAACTCGATTGAAGGTATGGTGTCATAAATTTCTCCTTTGTACCCTTATTCTTTGCACTTTATATTTCTTGAAACGTTTAACAACATTGTTTTGCAATATTTATGTACATATTGGTTTTCAAATATACTTTTTTCCTGTCAGTTTGAGCTGTCTAGATATTCTAAGGACAGTGGTAAAATCTGAAGCTTTTGTTGGGATATTGTTGATTCAGCATGCCACAAACTTTTGTAGTGAACCCAAAGTAGCCAGTATCTTTTGTATCTGATGATGGCAAATTAGAAGGTTTTATAAGATAAATATCAGTATGACTAGCAGCAAACAAAACACCTCTTCATCTCTAAGACATGCATTGAACACAAAATGGCACCTAGATCATCTGTTTAGATGCGTGAAATTGTTGCATAAATCATGTATTGTAACCTTATTGGGCTCTAGTTTAAATAGTTTGATATTGCCATGTGTTTTTTTTCTTGTTTCAGGATAAATTGGATGATTCAGCATACAAGATCTTGACAGAATTCCAAACTGCAACGGTGACACTTTTAGCACTAATTTCTGCTGCAACTGGTGATGTAAGTAAAGCTATACAATTTTATTGTTGCAATGTTGGTTTTAGGGAACGAGGGTTTTTTATGTTTAAAAGATATTTAGGTCAGTCTTGACAGTACATTCCGAGTCTACTTTTGAATTGTACTTTCATTATGTGAAGCATCATCTTTTTTGTTTTCTTCTGAAGGGTTGATGTTATTCCCTTGTTTGATTGTGGCAGGAGCAAGACTGTTCATCTGATAGAATTACCAGTAAAAAGGAGCTTTTGGAGAGCCAAATGCCGGCACTAAAAGCCTTGGTTTTGGGCTCCTCTCAAGCCTAGTCTTTGGTGGAATTAAAACTCTTTTGTTATACTCCCCCCACAACCTGAAAATTTTACTCAGAAGGGAAAAATGCTAAAAAAAACAAATGTTGATTTGGAATCTTTTAATTAAAATATTATGTTATTTTCAAATGTTTAAAAAAATATTTTTTAAAAATTGTTATAATATTTGACAATGAAAGCAACTATAATATTTATAATATAAATAAAATCAATCAGTTTAATACATGAATGGATGAGTTGATAATTGAATTTAGACCATAATAAATATGGGTGGTATACAATTTAAATTATAATAAAATAAAAAATCACACAAATAAAATTGTGTACGATAATACTGTAATCTAGACATAGTTGATTTAACATACAACTTGAGCTGTTGAAGATCAAGGTGATCAAGTAATTAGCAAACCCTTTGTTCTTGTTGATTGTTTTGGTCAACAGGGTCTTGAACTGAGTTCTGCTGCTCTTGGACGTTCACCATGGAGTCATTAACCATATTATTATTAGCTGCTTGAGGGTTGTCATAAGGCTTGTTGGCTCCTCCTACTGCAGTACCGGCTGCAATGGCTGCTGTTTTTCTCTTATGATGAAGTACGGCGCAAACACCGGCAATAACCCAGAAAAGTACAAAAACTGGTATTGATATACCGTGGATTGCCGGTAACTTGATTTTTTTTTTTGCTGCTATTAGGCCTGTAAATGAACTGAACGTTCATCGAACAGTTTATGAACCGTGCAACGGGAAGTTTGTTTATGTTCGTTTATTTATTAAATAAACGAACATGAACAAGATTTTGTGTTTGATTAATTAAATGAACGAACACGAACAAAGGGTTCGTACGTTCGTGAACGTTCGATTATATGTTTACTTATGTTCGTTCATTTATGTTCGAACAGATGTCAAGTTGAATGTGTTACGAAGATTATTGAAGTTGATTGGATTTCAGGAAGATTATTTTGTTAAACAAATTAACTTTAAGATTTTATTATGTTCATATAGCTTATTTATGATTTATGTATGTTTTTATCGTATTCGAACAAATTAACTCTAAAGTTGCAGGTTATATTAATGAATTTTAAGTTATTCTTGTTGTTTAACTTTTTTTACATTCATTTGTTGTGTTTGAATAAGTTTATTTTTTGTGTTTGTGTTGTTCGTTTATGTTAATTTATTATGTTCGTTTATTTTCGTTCATTTGTGTTCGTTTAAGTTTGTTTATCATTTAAATGAACGAACATGAACAAGCTATACTCTTTAATGAACGAACATGAAAAAAAAAATTGTTTGTTTATCTTCGTGTTCGTTTATGTTCGTTTATTTATTAATGAACGAACATAAACATACCTCCGTTCGTATGCTTTCGGCTACCGCTGCTCCATGTATCTACGCCACTCGCTGTTTTACATGATTTACCAGACACACACATCCGGATTGACTGCAACACTGAAAGAGAAAAAAACGTGAATCATTCGATAAGCAAATCAGTTTCTGGTCTGAATATTTTACAAAGAAATTTAACTTTTTATTATTTGATATCGAGGAAGGAATCGGTTCACAAACCGTTACCAGCCAAGTTCCTGAACAAGGACGACCATTTTCAGTTAAGCATCACGATAATGGAAAAGGGAAAATCTTATAAAATTAGATTGTCAAGAAAACTCACAATTGTTTTAGATTAGGCAAGGTGCCAAGAAATTCTGGGATAGACCCGATGAGGCTGTTATTGTACAAATCTCTAAAATAAAAACACTTTAGATGAAGCAGATTTGATTAAGTAATAATCTTGGAGCTAAATATATATACAATTTACATTTTGTCGAGGCTTTGTCATAGAGCTAAATCAGGAAGAAAACCAGATAAATCAAAGCTACCGAGAAACCTGAAAAACAATTAAACAAACCAAATGATGAATGATCATCAAGGTTTCAAGGAAAACCCAGAGAGCTATTTTGAGCTGGAAAATGAATAAACTTACAATGCTGTTACTCGGGGTGTGGGACCAGACGTGCAATTGATCCAACCCCATGAATAGGTTGAAGGAAGACAAGGTTCGCCACCCGAGTCTCCCAGTACATCAAATTCATTCAGCCGTGAGACCAATCCTTCCACTACAATATATTGTAAAAGGAAAAAAAAAAGGTTGACAAAAGTTTAAAAATTGCACGTACGTGGTATAAGAAATAGCAAGTAAATTAATGCCTCGGATACTAACCATCATTACTGTTGGTTCCATCAGTTAGCTCATCGCTGACTGTAAAAACTTCCAGGGCATTGATAAGAGGAGGCAGTGTTGAACCAGTTGCGGCCGCCAAAGTGAAATTAGCGCTGAAAGAGGCAGTCACGTTTGTCAGGGACATTTCTCCTGCTTTTGCATAAACTGGGATAAAGGGTTTCGATCTAGGCGTTCCATCTATTCGGAGCTTGATCGATCTTTTCTCGGTTGAATCAAGTAACGAAACTTCCGAAAAGTACATGTTCATGTAAATGGGAACTTTAGTTGCAGGAAGATTAGTCCCTAATGTTATGGATGAGGAAGTGCTGTCAGAGGCAAATGCACTTTGAAACACAGCACTTGGAGGGCTATCGTCTAAACCAACTTCATTGAGTATTTCATCACTTATAAGCACCGTGAAACCGGCTCCATTGATGGCCGGAACCCATATTCTGTCGTAAATATCATCGATAGACCTACAAGTACAAGAACATGCAGCATGAGATTTGTTAATGCAGTGTAAAAAAACACAATTACGCAAGTGAAAGGCCGCAAAACACACATAATGATTGCTTTGGTACCATAAGCAACCCTCCTCAACATCAAAGCACGATTCGAATCCAAATCAGTGTACATTTTTTAGTCCAAGTTCCGAACTTCGATGGCCGATATAAAGGGAAACATGTTTGGAACCGTCTGAGCAACGCATACACTAATGTTATCCGTCTTCGTGACATAAATAACCTCGTAGAAAACAGATTGGTCAATGGAAGTCTCCACCGTATCCCAATGATTCCCATCAAAATGTAGATCGAAATTTGGGGGCGATGATTTCCCATCATAATTTCCATAAAAGAAATAGGCTCGGACAAGAACTTTAGATCCCTTGGAAGAATGAATGTTGTAACAGCTTTTCTTCCTGTCGGTGAATACCCTTAGAATGGCCAGAAGGCCTGTAGACGAACCGAACGCACACGAACATAAACGAACAAAATTTTTGTTCATGTTCGTTCATTAAGGAATATAACTGTTCATGTTCTTTCATTTAAATAATAAATGAACGTAAACGAACACAAACAAACGAACATAAACGAAACAATAAACAACAACACAAACACAAAAAACAAACTTATTCGAACACAAAAATGAATGTAAAAAATGTAAACAACAAGAATAACAACTTAAAATTCATTAATATAATCTGGAACTTTAGAGTTAATTTGTTCGAATATGACAAAAACATACATAAATCATAAATAAGTTATATGAACATAATAAAGTCTTAAAGTTAATTTGTTCAACAAAACAATTTTCTTGAAATCCAAACAACTTCAATAATCTTCGTAACATATTCAACTTGCCCTCTAATCAAACATAAATGAACAAACATAAATGAACGAACATAAACGAACATATAATCGAACGTTCACGAACGTAAATGAACGAACGAGCCCTTTGTTTGTGTTCGTTCATTTAATTAAACGAACGCAAAATCTTGTTCATGTTCGTTCATTTAATAAATAAACGAACATAAATGAACTTTCCGCCGCACGGTTCATGAACGGTTCGCTGAACGTTCAGTTAATTTACAGGCCTAATGGCCAGCGGTTGATATAACGGTGTGCTAGATTGAAGCTGCACGGACTCACCATGTCGAATGTAGCTGTCGTCTCCAAGCCAGCCGATGGAATAGTCATCGGCACTGTAAAGTTGAGATGTTCCACAATCGATGCTCACTGCGTATCACACACATATATAAAACATTAATTCTAACATCAATAAAAAGAAGCATGCAAAAGCACATAATATTAAGAAAGTGAAACTTTTAAAAAGAAATGAACTGACCATCAGCGTTAAGTGTGGAAAATGCAGAAGCTGCTATGATGAGAAATAAGAGATAGGTAGTCATGGTAGAGTTGAGTGATGCAAAATTAAGAGGATTATTGGCCATCATTAAATAGAGTAGTGAACTGTTTAGCATATGTTGACTACGACCAAGTCATGAGGTTAACATATTCCCCAAAAAAATGGAAAGGGAAAACCTAGGTCCAGAGAATAATAATTATACTTCTAAACACAATCAATTGCTTGTGAGTTGTTTAAGCACATGGTTCGGTTTTGCAGAGGTTAGGGTTTAATACTATTTGATAAGCAGAATCGAAAAAAATAAAAGGATTGTTTGAGATCGAATTTGAAGATTTAATATCAATAAGGATTAGAATGATATTTTTTTGTAAGTACACCACGTGATTAATTAATAATATTATTTATAATTTATAATTTATTTTAAAGTTAAATTGAGATTTATATGTTTTTTGTTGTCTAAATTAACATTTAAATTTTATTTGTGCCACACATTTTATTCTTAGGTGACATTTTTACATATTAACATCTCAATAGGAATTCGCTAAGTTTGGAGGTGTGAAATACTGATTGAGTTTAGGGATACATTAACATTGACATTGCAAACTTTTATAGTTAAGTCAACGTGTGGGGTGTAAAAGCAGAGAATTAGACGCGTTGGTTCTGTGCACTATTAGTAGGTATAGCCAAGGAACAAGTTGCAGGTTGCTTCCTCGGCAACTTCTAGCTTGTATTGGATACAAAATTGAAAAGTTGATTTCTATGGAAAATTCGCCAACATCTCCAGTCAATTCAGTTTATTTGGCCAATTTGGACAAAATGGTGGTGTTGCTGGAATCTGCATTGTATGATGCCTAGGGATATTAGATCACTCATTGAGCTTTGGGATAATCTTCCCATTGCCATCGTTGCTAAGCCTTTGTGGAAGCTGTCTCTATTCGGTTTTCTTTGGACCATCTGGCAGAGTAGAAATGAAAGTATCTTTAATGGAAAAAAATTCTCCCGGGAAATGATTTTCGACCTTGCTACCTTGAGAACAGGTTTTTGGGCTAGAAGCAAATGGCCTTCGTCGCTCCTCTCCATTAACGATTTTACTCGTCTCCCCCATATGTTTAGAATGGCTAGGCCCCATCGTTGAGTTTGGGTTCTCGTTCGTGCTCGCTGTCGTTTGTGGTTTGGCAGTATCGCTTGTTGGGTTCGCAGCAGTGTGGCTTACATTTTCCTCTCGAGGTGTAACTGTTTGGCTCTCTCGCGGTTGATTGTGCCCCCTTCCTGCTGGGTTGCTGGTTTTTCTGGATATCTTGGAGTGTAGCAGCGGCAGCTGGGTTTGGTTGGTTTTGTTCTTGTTTTAGCTGTGCAGGCGTCTGGCATCAATTTCGTGGTTGGTGGGCTGCTTTGGTTGGTGTTTGTTTTTGGTTGGTTATTTTGCTCCTTTGCGTTTTGTTTGGTCCCAATTTGCTGCTCGGCGTTGGCTTTGGTTTCTCCCTATCTGCAGGGGCTGGTCGTATCCATGCGCTGGTGTGTTGCCGAGTGTGTACCAGCAGATGTTGGCTTTAGTTTTGGGGGTCGATTGGCGGTGCTGGTATCCTGGGTGCTTAGGTAGGGAGTGCCTTAGTGTCTGCCTCCAATTCGTGCTCTTCAGCTCGTTTTCTTTTTCAGGTTTTGCATTAGCAATGAGTTTTATTTAGATATGTGGTACATTCTTTTTCCTCCCACTAAGTTTTAGGGAAGTTTTTTAACGAATGTCTCATCAATATTGTGCTTTGTATTTTCTTTCTATAAATATAAAGTGTCCCTTAAAAAAAATCTTTTCAATTGGATTCTAATGACTCTTCATCTAAATCAGTCAATTGAATCTCACACTGATTCGACATACGAGATAAGCCACAATAAACTGCATATAATCTATGAATTGTGCTCTCCTCAGTTGAGATATTCCTAAAACCCTCTTCAAGATCAATAGATTTTTAAATTTTTCTAACAAATTCAAAGTTCAAATATATTTCAAACACAAATGTAGAAAATAAAATTTAAAAATATTCCAATTAACACGGTTAATTCAATTGATTGACTGCTCATTAATATATCAGCAAAGACTAAAATTTGAGTCTCACCAACAAACCTGTTTGATGGGCCGAACCAAGAGTTTGGTGTTCAGGTCGAAATGAAAATATAAAATTTTTGTTAGGAACTTGAGTGGGAAAAAAATAAGTAAAAATTATCCAAAAAAATAAGTAAAGCGATATCAATATTAAATAAGATGTGTACATAATATGAGATTTAACGTAGTTCGATATTATCTACCACCACGGCGAGATGAACAATAATTCACTACAAACGTAGAAAGCACGAAGAATACAGATATATAATATCACATGTATCTCAAAACCTTATATAAATATTAAATTAAGTTGTATCCCAAAAACTATCGATATCCCTACAAAACTATATTTACTACATAAACCCCAAAAATTACAAAGATCCAAAAAAAATTATATCTCTCCAAAATAATTCTCTCACATATTCTAAAGGCTAAGACACTCTCTATTTATAAAGTCAAATATTTGGTCGTCAATAATCTTTGTTCCATAAGAATCATTGCCTAAAATATTTACTTTATTATATAAATATAATTATCAAATAATCTTCGATCACTAGAACTACAATAAAATCTAACTTAATTGACAATTATAATTTGGGTCAAAATATAATAAATCTACCATTTGATCTAAATTTCATCAAAAAAATAGTCTTCAAGTCTTTAACAACTTCAATATTTACGTAAGCTATATAATCGTTGAAGCATTGCCACCAAATTTTTAACAACTTTAATCCTTATGTAAATTTCGTTAAAGCAAACGAATTACATCCTCTTGCATGCCTTCAAAATTGCTATGAAAAATGCAATAATAAATTCTTATAAAACTCTACAACCCTAACCATAATTCTGATATCATTTGTTACGAATTTGAGAGAAACAAATAACCAAAACAATATGAACATAAATAAGACATGCACGGGAGACGAGATTTAACGTGATTTAACATTGCCTATCACCAAGGGCCAGATGAACAATAATCCCTATAAATGTAGAAAATACGAAGAATACAACTACATAATATCACATGTATCCCAAAACCGGATATAGATATCAAAACATGATATATCTCAAAAACTTTCAATATCTCTATAAAATTATCTCTGCAACATAAACCACAAAAATTGCAGAGATCCTAAAAAAATACAATTCTCCAAAATAATTCTCACATGTTCTAAAGACTAAGACATTATCTTTATTTATTATCTATATTAATAGAATCGAATAAGGTGACCAATAATTCTTATCTAAAATAAATATTTATTTTATTAAATAATTTAATTATCAAGTAATCTTCAATTAATTAAAAAGGGCTTAAATTGAATTTATTTATAATTTAAAGAGGCCGAAACAACCATTGATACATTTATAGCCCTTCGGGTCAAGGCATTAAAATAACCGTTGTGTCATTTACTTGATAAAAAATGAATTAAACCCCCTTTTCTTTGATTAATTTATTTATGTGTTTTGGGCTGAGAAAATATAGTGAGAGGAATCTATATTGGGTGTGGGGATGGGGTATTCTTTCTTTGATCAACTGATAGACTGGGGTTTTGACGCCTAACGTATATAGAAACAAGTGAAGCCTTTAGATGAGACTATGAACTATGGGCAATTGAAAAAAAAGTCACTTTGTTTTCTTTTTTATTGTTTTAGTGAGCAGATTAGTACCATATAATTTTTAGTTTGTTAATTTTCTATTGAAGATGAAGATGTTTGGTAAACATTGTTGCTTTGAGGTCCAGTACTTCAGGAAGGGAATAAAGTTTCAGTTTTATCTTTTACTGTTTTGATATTTCTTCAAGTGCTTGAACAATTTTTCCTGCTTGTGCAAGAGGTTGGAAGTGGATCGGGAATTGGAATTGTCAAGTGCTGAAGTTGAAAAAGGAGACAGTTTCCCGTATGAAACGAGTTAAGATGCGAGCACATCAATATTTGAACTGCTTTTGGAGCAATTGTATAAGCAATTGGCATTTGAGCTTAAAACTTTCACAAACTAAGAAAGCAATGAATCCTCAGCTAGGTGAGACGAACTCTCAACTTGCTTTATAAATCAGCAATTCATAACACGGATTACAAACCAGTAGAGTAAACAACATAACCCAAATTATAATCCCAACAAAAACCACCTAAATACAAGCCATAACCCTAACCCTAAGCTATAACATTATGATAAATGACTTCAAATTTCTGAAAAACCTAATTCCTAAATTATCTAACCACCAAATCCATACAAAGTCCTACCCTGCCTCTTCAATGCATAAACCACATCCATAGCAGTCACAGTCTTCCTCCTCGCATGCTCCGTGTACGTAACCGCATCACGAATCACGTTCTCCAAGAAGATCTTCAAAACTCCACGGGTTTCCTCGTAAATTAGACCGCTGATACGCTTGACCCCTCCCCTACGAGCTAAACGCCGAATTGCTGGCTTGGTGATACCCTGGATGTTATCGCGGAGGACCTTACGGTGACGCTTGGCTCCTCCCTTACCTAGTCCCTTGCCTCCCTTTCCTCTTCCCGACATTTTCGAATCTTGAACCTTTCTTGATAGCTAAGGCTGATTTTGGAGATTTGATTTGTTACACACATTATTAAGCCCAAACAATGGGGGGGGTCTTTATAGGAGATGTGGGGTAGGGATGGTGATCCGTGGTGTGTCTTAACTATGAAATAGAGCCGTTGATTAGTTATAATGGAGGGTCAGATGAGGAGAAGCATCGCCGCGGATCGATGACGTGGATTGTTTTAGCGCTTATTTTGAAGCGCATTTGATGGGTTCCGTGTTTCTTTTGAGAGCTGAAAAAATTAAAACTCTTTCGAGCGTAAACCAGCGCGCCTTTTATTTGCCAAATGTCAGCCCAATAAGAAAGCCCATATGGTAGTGTTGGGTTAATATACCGGTTTGATGATCCAATTGTAATTATTTACCGAGGTTTATACGTTGTCCTTCAGTTTTCTTCATTATTAAATCCAAAGAGGCATCCTCTTCATCTTTAAACCCTACACCATTAACGTTCACCATAATCACTTACCTTTAATCTGTTTCTGTCTGAGAATCTATGGGGTTCTTCGACCTTAATATTCCTTACACCGATTCCACGCCGCCCAGCAAGGCGAACCCCGCCGCCAAATCCACCCGCATTAAAATTGTGATCAAAGCGATGGAGGGCTACACGGGAATCGCTTACAACCTTACGATCCGGGGAGTCATGTCTGATCGCGACCGTTAGGCCGTTGAACCAAATTGCATTTGATCACGCGTGCGAAAAGGCCGAGGTCCTTAATTAATTCGGATTTTAATCGAGTAACTATTTGGGGATATGTTTTTTAATCTTATATTTTTTTCATTGTGATATAGGTGGATATAATTTCAATTGATCTCTCAGATAAGTTGCCGTTTCGATTGAAATCACCCATGGTTAAAGCTGCTATTAAGGTTTGTTAGAGACTTGATTTATATATTCCTTCAATATTAAAATATTTGTTTGTTTCAACGGATATCTTATTTTTATTTTGGATCTAGCAGCGTGGGATTTATTTTGAAATTACATATTCTGATCTTATTGTGGATGTTCATCGAAGGGGGCAAATGATATCCAATGCTAAGGTGAGGAACCCAGAGCTTGTTGCATTGTTTTTTTTCTGAAAATTTTTGTTTTTATGATCTTTTCTGATAATGATGAAATGTGATCAACTAGGATATGAATTGAGAGATTAGCTTGTGGTTATTTAGTTGCTTTATAAGATGTAATTTTGTCTGTTCAAGATGTTGTCAGTGTGAACTAATTATCTGAAACATACTATCCCAGTTGCTGCTGGATTGGACTAGAGGAAAAAATATCATATTTTCCAGTGCTGCACCTTCTGCTTGTGAAGTTAGAGGACCGAATGATGTTGCAAACTTAGCATCGTTGCTTGGTCTCTCTATGGAGCGAGCTAAAGCAGCTATTTCCAAAAATTGTAGGTATGCTAACTCGCAAAACTTTGTAGTTTTTAGGAGGACCATAGTTAATGTTTCATTCTGTGTGGAACTCCCTTTCTTCTTTCAGGAGTCTTTTGACTAATGCTTTAAGAAGAAAGCACTTTTTCAAGGAGGTTATCAGAGTTGAAGCAATGTCATCTAGTCAGCCATCTGACTCTGAAACACCTTGTCCTGCTGGCTGGCTCAAGTGGGATCCCATCTCTAGTGGTGAAGGTGATTTATTGCTGGATGACATTGCAAAGTCTTTCTCTGCCTCCAATAATGAATCCAAAACTGTGAGAGCCATTGATTTTGGTTCAATCACTGACAAGATGCCATCCCATGGCTTCCATGGAACTGAGGCTTCCTTCTAGCCACCGAAAAAAGTCAGAAGCTTTTTGTCTACTTCTGAGCCAATTGAGTTATTGTTACAAATAATCGGGTGTTTGAAAATTCCATCAAGCTCAATCTTCTTCCTGAAAAGGATGATGCTTTGTTAGATAATACATGTTCAGAACATCAAACCTCTGTATTTGGGGATTCTCGAAAGGTAGTGATAACTAACACGGTTACAACTGAGGAGAACTAGAGACTTATAATGCCTCAGATGTAAGATTTGCTTCCATTGAAACTGAAAACCAAAACCAGGGTCTGCAACCAGAAAAGTGTAAGGAACAAAATATTGTCGTACTAAATGAGAATGTGAGTGATGGTGTAAATGCTGTAATACCAAGTGAAAATGTGATCTCATCAAACATTTGCCATGGACATTGAACTGGATGCAGCTGCTTCGGAGATTTCTTCTCCATCTGAGAACAGTAGTTTACCTCCTACTCAGGGTGGGGAGTGTAATAGTTCTATAGTTTTTCATGTAGATTCAGGTGCAGAGACTTAAGGTAGATGATGTAGCAGTTAGTATGGATATGGAAGACCAGGAGAATATGTCATTGCCCTTGAATAATATGTCTTTTCTTGAAAACATCTCAGGAAGGATACCAGTGAGGGTTTCTGAAGGTGATGCAGGTATTGCTGATCAAATTTCACTTCAGCAGTCTGGCAATGAGATGAGAGTTAAGAATTACTCTTTGGTGGATGTAGAGACCCATTTTCTTAAAAGATAGAACTAGCAAGAGATACTCTCTTAGGAGGACTCTTCCACTACCATATCTTTTAAAGCAACAACTACACCAACAAACGTGCAAAAACCGAGCAAGGAGTTTAGTTGTATTAGGATTCTAAAAATAGTTAGTTTTTTTCACTATAAATACATGTAATCTTTCACATTTGTAACACACGATTTACATACAAAATAAGGAAAGCACGGAAAATACAAAGGTAAAACTATTGTAAACGAATCGAAAAGAAATAAAAGGTAGCGTTTTTTTACTTTTGATTCGGTCTCTTACATTTACATTTTAATTATTATTATTTTATTTATTTAACTTTATTTATACGTACATTTCTCTTGTTATTCATTTTATTTAATTGTTTTGTTATTTTTCTTCTTTTCTTTTTCATGTAATATTTTTTTACATTTTATGCATTTTTTTTATTTTAGTATATATTTTTATTTTTTTAGATTATATATATATATTATTTTTTTATTATCAGTTTTATTAATTTATATATATATATATATTTACTATTTTTTATATATATATATATATTATTTTTATTTTTTATTATTATTTTATTTATTTGTTTTATTTATATATTTTTTTCTTCTTTTTCTTTATTTTTTATTTTTTTATATTTATTTTACTTACTATTTTATTTTTGTTTTCTTTATCTTATCTTTTATTTAATTTATTTTTTCTTCATTTTAATTTTATTTATTTATTTATTTCTTACCTTTTTATCTAACATTATTTTTTTAACCTTCTTAAGGTCACACCTTTAAAACTATCTAAGGTAAATAATTGTGATCGTATTTTTACCTTTTAATTTTAAATTATAATTTTCTTAATTTAAGACAACCGGCAAATTAATTAGTACCGAAAGGGCGGTTCAAGGGTGCTAATCCTTCCTTGACCGTAACCGACTCCCGAACCCGACACATTTCTGGTAAAAACGCAGATCATGTAAGATGGTGTTCGACCCACCTAAATTCGTTTTAAAGTGGTCGGTGGCGACTCCCAACCCAATTATTTCAAGTTGAAATCCAATTCGGGGCCCAATCGAAAGACGGTTACGACAGTTTGGCGACTCTGTTGGGGACAGGTAAGTGAGTCAGGCCGAAATTAATTTTAGGTTGTCTTTTTTTTAGCGAAAATTACAAGTTTAAATTTTAATTTATTTATTCGATTCCAATTATTTATCTTTAATTATTTTTTTCATGTAAATAGTTGTACTAACATTTTTTCAATGATTTCAGATTTTTGAAAAAGTTTTCATCTCTGACTCTATACCCGAGCTCCGAACCCTTTTAAGTGGGGGTGAAAGCGACGACTTCGTGTGAATTTATTCACCGTATGGGTCTAGCAAGTAACCTTCGGGATTCATATATCTTATGTCTTCGTGTGAATTTATTCTCCGTATGGGCATAAGGAAATGTTTCCTCTCGAGTTTAACTTAGTCCACATAAGCTTGTAATGGGCTTAGTACTAAGGGTCTGGTAAGCTCAAGGGGGCACCGGCAAGGAGAACTCGGGTACCGTTTTTTAGAACCTAAACCAGGAGGCTATGGAGAATTATAACTCACCCCAAAATCTTATTTCAAACCTTAGGTTGTTTTGTTTCATGCTTTACTTCTGTTCAAAGCATGTGAACTATACAAATATGCGGTTAGGATTTGTGTGGAATTAGCATGCGGGATAAGATCATGTCCGGGAAGGAATTAAAACATGTGGGTAGTATTTTTCGTTTTTATTATTGTTTTGATTTACCTCACTAACTCTATTTTACTTTTGTTCTCTTTTATTTTGTTTTCATCATTTGCATCATTTAAAAGAGGTGTTGATCCACCAAAAACGTGTTTGTTAAAACATGAATGATCTGCATTAATGGACAAAGGGGTTGTAATACAAGAGGTGAAAAACGCAGGGGTCCGGCTATGGTCAGAAAAGACTTAGAAAGAAAATGAGGATAACCTGGAAACAACTATGTGTCACATTCGATCAAGAAGACATGGTGCCCACAATCAAATAGATCAAAATGTCAACTTTTCAAAAATGGGTTGACAAAGGTGGCAGGGGCAAGACGAGAAAAATGTTACTGACCTCGAGAGTCCCTTCAAAGACAACAAGAACAAGATGACAAAACGATAACTGAATTGGAAGCCATTGTCGACAAATTCAATGAACTTCAGATAATCCCTTTGATGGAGAATTTCAATGATGTTTCCGTTATAGAACAGGTTCAGCAAATGATGAAAGCCAGAGATACAATCATTCGATACTTCTGGGAACAAGTACAAAAAACAGCTCGTCACTTGCACGATTTAGCCAAAGAAGCCGGAGCGGTTCGGTAGGGTATTCGACCGGTGACAGACGAAGGTATAAGACTAGTCAACTTGTTTCAGGGTCTAAGGATTTAGTCTTGATGTACCTTTAAATATGTTTATTATCTCTTAAAAGATAAAACACTTTTGTCCCAATAAAGATTATTTATAATAACATACATGTTTTTGGATCAATGCCTCGAACATTTCATGCATTTTGCATCTACATTTCATTTTTTAAGCATTTTCATAAATATGAAATTTATTCATGGAGAATTCGATGAAGTGGTTTTAACCACATGACACCACATGGAAGCAAGATTGTAACATCAAAAAAAAACTAAAATCACAACGAATGAGTCCGATCAGCTGGTTGTACGACTAAGCCTGTCAGGATGATCTGAGAAAAGAGTTCACATATCCTAAGGGCTACGATGTTGAAGATGTTTGCAGTTGCCACATAGGATGCTCCATACATTCCTCTGAGAACTATAAGGTGCTGAAGCGCGAGATCCAAAACCTGGTGAATTCAGGGGCATGGACAGCCGAAGAAGGGACATTGCATATATCATTTGCACTTAGAGGATTGTTTTGTTTGAACACGTATTTGATCTTTCATGTTTGCTTAATCTTTTAAACAATTGAATTTATGCTATTTTCTAAGGTAGAACAATTGAATAAATTTTAATCTTTAGTTATTTGAAAATTAAATGAATTAAGGATTCTTTTAATTCTTCAAGAATTATAGATTTTTGACATATGGCAAAATTAGACCTTTCTTATCCTGTCTCAAACCCCAAAATAAAATACCTTAATTCTTTACCCAAAATAACTCATGGTCATTACCAAAAATACCAAATTTTGACATTACTCCCTTTGAAACTTTTGAACATTGCCTTTATCTTTTGATACACCCATACCTTTCTTTGAGTCAAATAAAGTCACATCATTGTCTTTTTAGACTCAAAATTGACATTTTTATGCCATTAAAACCTAAGGCATTGAGTTGTTCATTTGAACATGAGTCTTCTTCTAAGATACAACTTGGGGCATCTCGTAGGGAGCATGAACATTGAGACATGTTGGGGGCAAGAAGCAGAAAGAAGAATTCACTCGGAATAATTCTACCATGCATTAATTGTACTGTTTTCATGTGAATAAAAATAATCTTGAAAATCTATCCCCCTGGGGATACCTCTTCTGTGAGGACTTCCATGTATGAAATGATGAATGACTTTCTTTCTTCATCCCTTCACAACAGGAGAAAATATATATCATTTGTGTCCCCTTTTGAGCTTATAGTATTTTTCTTCTGATTCAACCCTAACCAAGGACCACCCTCCACACTAGGGGGCAAGGTGGAGAAACTCTGCTCGCATGAGTTAAGACATTGATTCAGATGAGATACTGAAAAGTGAACCAAATGCCAAGTGCAAAGATGCAATCAGAACAAAAAGGAAAAAAAGAAAAAAAGAAGAAAAAGCAAAGAGAAAATAAAAAAGAGAAACAAAAATAAAGAAAAAAGAAGACAAGACGCATATGCAAAGATTCACTCGATTCAAATGATGCGTCGAGATTTAAATTATGAGATTGATCAAGCACAATCATTCTAGAATCACTTCACTCGAATAACATGGAATATCCAGAGAAAATCAAGAGAAACACATACGAGCAGATTCAAATTGAGTAAGACAGGATTGAAGGCATCATAATGAATTGATCCTTGGTTTAATACCCTGAAACAGTTGTTTGGGCTTATTTATCCTTTTCTTTCATAACCATGAACCATGGCCTATATTACGTGCCTTAAAAGTCCTTTCTAATCATACATGAAGTTCTGAACAGAAGAGACTATCTTCAGATTTCATCATGCTATCAGGATTAATCTTTAATTGCAAAAAATAGTGTAATTAATGCATGATAGAGAAAAATAACAAAAGGGGTTCAAGACGTAAATTACGAATGACGACTTGAAACCAAAGGAGGATTCGAGTTGAAAACTGAAAAGGCGGCTCGAATACAAAAATTGGGCAGCTGAGGCGATCACACGAATTCCTTGATAAGGCATCGCACAATCCGAGCTTGACCATGAAAGCTGGGAATCGGAGAACACTTCCAATAGATGAGTATGCAAGATACCCCATCAACCCTTTGAGCATCAAATAAACAAAAATGTCAAACTTTTAACCAAACACAATAACCTGAGACATTTTTATCCTTTCCTTACTTAACCATTTCCCAAAAATAGATTTGATCTTGGCACGTGTCAAATGGCTATAATTTATTAAAGGATTAACAATGTAATTAATTATTTGATATCCAATGAACTCTAGTTTTATGATTTGTCTCAATTGTAAAACCGTGAAAGGGGCAATATTTTCAAAACTTTTGGTTAAATATTTTTCGAAACTCTTTTTTGATATTTTCAGAACTTTGAAAATAAAAAAGAAAGAAAACATTTTTTTCAAAACAAGACAATCTCTCTAGAGTGGATCTTGGTAAATGACGTGGCTCTCAAACACAAAACTCATGCTAAGAATCAATGCTGAAGCAAGAAATCAGGTACAATGAGAGCATCTTTGAAGATTCAACATCAAATGTTGGGGCTTTTTTTAGATTTAACATCAAATATTGGGGCATTTTTTGAGATTCAACATCGAATATTGGGGCATCTTTGGGAATTCAACATCCTGATGCAAATTATCAGACATTTTGAAGGCATTTCCTCCATAAGCAGGAACAAGCACACAAAGCACGAGACTCCGTCCAGGGGATAAAACAGAACTAATTCATGTTACATGCATCTTAGACAAACTTAAGAG